ATCGGCTTCTGTTCAAAAACAACAAGGCGCTTGTCGGCTTCTGCAGTAAAACGTGAACTCACGATGCCTTGAAAGTGGACAAAACCAGCTTTTTTGACAAAACTTGTTTAGGGTTCAGATCGCGCTATATGTGGAGCATAGTGCACGACACTCAGCTCATTGTTTTTGAAAGTGGTGTTTATCGGTTTTTGCAAATGAACTCTTCATAGCCAGTGGATGATGTTGTGATGACTGGTTATTTGCTGGTTCCTCTCAGGCATTAGTCGTATCTAACGACTCTAGGAAAGAGTCGACTGCTGGAGAGATAGTCAACCTGATGTCAGCGGATGCCCAAAGATTTAACGATGTCACCAACTTCATCCACCTGCTGTGGTCGTGTCCACTACAGATTGCTCTGGCCATCGCCTTCCTCTGGATTGAGCTGGGTCCCTCAGTCCTGGCCGGGCTGCTGGTCATGGTGCTGATGGTGCCCATCAATGGCTGGCTGGCCACCAAATCCAGGGGCTTCCAGGTGATTCGGTTTGCTTCATCAAGCATTGCTCTTGTAAAAGAGTTACAAAAAGGAATATTGATGAAACACTGCATCAATATCCACTAAAGGCAACATGCTTCTTTTCAGATGGAAAACATGAAATTTAAAGACAAGCGGATGAAAATTGTCAATGACATACTGAATGGAATAAAAGTAAGTGCATTCCTTCCACTCTCAGAAAAAAAATCAGTTGTCACTGGGGTGGTTCCCTTTCAAAAGGTACATGTGTCCATATCCATAAAGGGTGCATTTTAGTACCTTCATGGTACATATTTGCTCTTCTGAGAATGTGGCATGCTTAAAATCCTATTTTCATTTAGAATTCAGTCAAATCAGAATATGTAATCTTGATTTGCGGACATCTCTGCACATGTTCCACTTCTTTTCGTCACTGGGTTCTGAAGTTCTGAAGTATTACGCCTGGGAATCATCGTTTGAGGCTCAGGTTCAGGAGATTCGAGAGCAGGAGCTGAAGGAAGTTTGGAAGTTTGCCTACCTCTCGTCTGTCTCCACCTTCATATTTTCATGTGCTCCAGCTATTGTGAGTATAACAGTGTTTTATACATTAAATGATTTTCTATTGCACCAATGAATTTGTCAGTCAAAGTAATACCGGCACTGATCAGACATGGTGGTGGTGGACGGATGGCAAAGCTGCTATGAACAGTATGAAAAATTAACTTCAGTAAAATACAAACAGAAAGCAAGCAGCATGACTACATCTTTACTCTACAGACTGTCTGATCGCTGCTCGCTGACTATGCATATGCATATTTGTATTTATACAACTGGACAGTAAATAATGCACAAATCTGTACATAAATCTTCCAGATTTTACCACATTATTATTATTATTTATTTATTTATCTTAGTCTTATTTAATTGTTCTTTCTGTCTCATGTCATGTATGGATGGATGCATGTTTGTACCAAGAGCTCCTAAAAAAACACAACAAATCCTTTGTGTGTTTGCGCACACTTGGCGAATAAAGCTGATTCTGATTCTGGCTCTCCGTGTGTAATTCTGAACTCTAACAAATGTTCCCATTTGAGCAATAATGGCCACTAGCAATAATGTTGTTTCTTGAAAATGCAAGTAGTTGCTAAAGAGCATTCAGAAACATCTCATGCATCTCTCATCGCGAATCATCTCATTTCATATTTCTGACTAAAGTTTAAGTGTGTAAACTGCTTGAAAAGAAAAAGACACTTTTATTTTGTAGTCATTTGATTAACTGCAAAAATAAGTGTAAGAAATATAAACTACTGTTGCAGAGATGGAGCCCATATCATATATCATATCATATCTCATCTGCAGGTGTCTCTGGCGACCTTCGCTGTGTTTGTGTCTGTGAGTCCCAATAACATCCTGAACGCAGAGAAAGCTTTTACCTCCATCTCACTCTTTAACATACTGCGCTTCCCACTCGCCATGCTTCCACAGCTGATTTCCATCATGGTTCAGGTACTAGAATTAATACATGCTGTTATATTTATACCGAAGCATATTACTGCTACCTTTCAATTACGCTTTGTTTGCATTTATATTAAAGGGGTCATATGATGCTGGTAAAAAGAACATTATTTTGTGTATTTGGTGTAATGAAATGTGTTTATGTGGTTTAAGGTTAAAAAAACACATTATTTTCCACATACTGTACATTATTGTTTCTCCTCTATGCCCCGCCTTTCTGAAACGCGTCGATTTTTACAAAGCTCATCGTTCTGAAAAGCGAGGTGTGCTCTGATTGGCCAGCTATCCAGTGTGTTGTGATTGGCTAAATACCTCAAGCGTGTGACGGAAATGTTATGCCCCTCACCATACTGTGATGCTGTGTCCGGCCGGAGCGACGAGACAAAAACATGAAAACCCATTATAAACGAGGCATTCATTGCATCCAGTGGGGACATAATTATGGATTATAATGACTTATACTGTCTTTTTACGCGTTGCGTTGCATCGCGCCGCATAAACATAAAACCATGTCTGCATTTGTGATCGGAGAAATGTCAAACTACAAGCGCTACTCTACAGTGCCCAAAAAACTCATTTTTGAATAGTTACTTAACATACTGCAAAGAACATACTTCAGAGCAACAACAGTAGTGTAGTGTGAAACCTGAGAGAGTGATCAGATGTTATCATCACTTCCTGAATTAGGTGCCGCCGTGAGCATGACTGACGGCACATATGCCTGGGAAAGAGACACAGAACCAGTTCTGAAAAAGTGAGCTCTGCCATGTTTCACTACAACATTACACTTTCATATTTCTACACTGTTACAGTAAACAATAGATGCAACTAAAACTGTTCTTTAGCATTACTGCTGTCATCAGCTGTGTGTTTGCGAGAGTGTGTGTGTGTTCCGTCTAGTGGTTTTTAACCAGTGATTATTTTGTTCAGTGTCTCTCTGGACATTAAACCGGGTCGTCTGGTGGCAGTGGTCGGGGCTGTAGGGTCTGGAAAGACGTCGCTGATATCCGCTCTGCTGGGAGAACTGCACAGCCTCAAGGGTTGCATTAATATCAAAGTAATCATACAGATATTATTATGTCACTCTTATTTGCTGGCTGGAGCGTTAGTTACGTGTGTTTGCTCATGCGTCTCGTGGTCTCTCAGGGGTCTGTAGCGTTTGTGCCGCAGCAGGCCTGGATTCAGAACGCCACTCTGAAGGACAACGTCTTGTTCGGCTCTGATGTGAATGAGGAGCGTTACCGGTCTGTGGTGGAGGGGTGCGCACTCGGGCCAGACCTGGATCTTCTGCCAGGAAGAGATCAAACTGAGATCGGTGAGAAGGTAAAGTGTGTGCATGTTGATGATAAAATAGTTTCCCTTTTATGTCGATTTATCTACAGAGTATATCAAAGTAATCATACAGATATTATTATGTCACTCTTATTTGCTGGCTGGAGCGTTAGTTACGTGTGTTTGCTCATGCGTCTCGTGGTCTCTCAGGGGTCTGTAGCGTTTGTGCCGCAGCAGGCCTGGATTCAGAACGCCACTCTGAAGGACAACGTCTTGTTCGGCTCTGATGTGAATGAGGAGCGTTACCGGTCTGTGGTGGAGGGGTGCGCACTTGGGCCAGACCTGGATCTTCTGCCAGGAAGAGATCAAACTGAGATCGGTGAGAAGGTAAAGTGAGTGCATGTTGATGATAAAATAGTTTCCCTTTTATGTCGATTTATCTACAGAGCAGTGGATCCCAACCTGTCCTTGACCCTGGAGCACAAAACCAGTCATAAGGGTAAATTTTTCAAAAATGCTGAATAAATGAGCTTCCCATTGATGTATGGTTTGTTAGGATAGGACAATATTTGGCCGAGATATGAAAATCTGGAATCTGAGGGTGCAAAAAAATGAAAATACTGAGAAAATCGCCTTTAAAGTTGTCCAAATGAAGTTCTTAGCTATGCATATTACTAATCAAAAATTAAGTTTTGATATATTTACGGTAGGAAACTTACAAAATATCTTCATGGAACATGATTTGTACTTAATGTCCTAATGATTTTTGGCATAAAAAAAGGATAATTTTGACCCATACAATGTTTTTTAGGATATTGCTACAAATATACCCCAGCGACTTAAGACTAGTTTTGTGCTCCAGGGTCACATATAAGAAAACCTGAAAACGGTGACCGTAAAGTCACAGTTTGCATATTCAGAAGCAGATTTAGGCATGGGAGACATGGGCATCTTGCCAGAGGCGTGGGGGAAAAAATTAACTATATACTGCATGTCCAAAAATGGCCATTTGGGTTCAAATACAGAAGAGTTTAGGATTGGATCATTATTGCAGTGATTGATGTGTTTGTGGCATGCTGTATGTTTTGCAGCAGTTCTTTTAACCTCTGACTCATCTGTTTCAGGACTTTGAGTGTCTAATGAGCTCAACTATTTGATTAGGAAGAGTTCAGAAATGTGTAGTGCTAATGTGTTGGGAAACTCTTTCATGTGTCATATTCTGTACCGCAGGGCATCAATCTGAGTGGAGGACAGAAACAGCGGGTGAGTCTGGCCAGGGCGGTCTACAGCTCCGCAGACGTGTACCTTCTGGATGACCCACTGTCTGCGGTAGACTCACATGTGGGGAAACATCTGTTTGAGAGGGTGATCGGACCCAAAGGACTGCTCAAAGACAAGGTAGGAGACTTTTCAGATTTTCTTCAGGCTGGCTTCCCAACTTACTGTATCTCAAATGTAGACTGATCTCTAATGAAAATACAATGCTCAATCACTAAATAAAGCATATTTTCTGTCTTACCTAAATTGCTGCACTGCAAACCAAATGCATTGCTCTGTTTTGTCCTCATCTCTTTCTCTGTAGACTCGTATCCTGGTAACTCATGGGATCAGCTTCCTGCCGTATGTAGATGAGATTGTTGTCTTGGTGAATGGGGTGGTGTCTGAGGTAGGATCATACGATGGCCTTCGAGCCAGTAAAGGAGCTTTCTCTGAATTCCTGGAAACGTACGGCAAAGACGAGAGCAGCAACGCTAATGCCAATAAAGGTTTGTCTCCCATCCAACATGTGCATTTTCTTATGAGCTTCAAATATTGTCATAAAATGGCCATCTGAACACATTCTGAAAACTTTATTGCAATGCTTGCGAGGTCTACATGCTTCAGCTGCTAGTGTGGGTTTCTTTCTTTTTCTCTTGGTTGCTTTATTTCTTGCCTTTCTGTGATGAATGGCCAAAACTGTTGAGTTATTGAGTCAATGAACATGAAACCTGGGGTGTTATAATTCATCATGATTTCTCAAAAGCTCTTTTGACCTCGTGGCTTGGCGTTTGCTCTGAGATGTGGTTTCAGCTGTTCGAGCTGTTAGAGAGGTGTGTGCCTTTCCAAATCATGTCCAGTCAATGGAATTTGAAGGCTGCAATTCAGTCATAAAGCTGCTAAATAGTGAAAATAATCATGCAATGCTATTGTAAAAATAAATAAGAGTTTATTTTTGATGAAGACAGCTCTTAAATTCACACAATAGCATTCACGGTAAGCATTCACAAAACTGAACACAAAATGGTCATATAATCCTCTACTGTAGATGATTGGTTGTGGGCAGTATTAGTAGAAAAGCATGCAGGGATCAACACTAGGAAGCTTCACTGGAAATAGTAGACCATTCTACTATCTATACTATGATCTATGATCTCTAAAACATTACATAGAAATAAAAAGGCCTATACTTGAAATACACAGTTTTGAAGTATGTTGGCATGTCTGCTAACATCAAAACATGCGGGCAAGTCTCTACACACATTCACTTTATTTGTTGTTCTCATTGTTAAAAAAGCATCAGCTCAGGAGTCAGACTTCGAGCAGATTGACATGCTTCCCGAGGGTTTGGAGCCACAGGCTGATGGCTGCAACACTAGGAAGCTTCACTGGAAATAGTAGACCATTCTACTATCTATACTATGATCTATGATCTCTAAAACATTACATAGAAATAAAAAGGCCTATACTTGAAATGCACAGTTTTGAAGTATGTTGGCATGTCTGCTAACATCAAAACATGCGGGCAAGTCTCTACACACATTCACTTTATTTGTTGTTCTCATTGTTCAAAAAGCATCAGCTCAGGAGTCAGACTTCGAGCAGATTGACATGCTTCCCGAGGGTTTGGAGCCACAGGCTGATGGCTCTCCTGAGGACATTGTCTCAAGCACACTAAAGAGAGAAAACAGCTTGCGCCACAGCCATGTTTGTTATATTTATTTGCTCAATGTCTTCTGGGGTTTTGGTTCTTTTACTGTTGTAGATAGCCCATAGTATAACAAAATATTGTATGTCTCTTCATTGTGTTTGGGCCCCCCCCTGGACGAGCGAGCATAGGCACGTGCCTAGAATGCCTATGCGTAAATCTGGCCCTGATCTTCACACATGCTACTGAAATGCAGATTCTGAATGAAAATCACTTTCTGAGCAACAACAGACTTCATTGCAGGAGTGCATTTTTGTATGCACCAAGACTGTTTTATTTATATATTTTTTGTCTTTAGTGTGAGCTTGAGGAAAAACAGCTCAGTTCGATCCAAAAAAGACTCTGGTGATAAAAAGGGACAGCGACTGATTGAGAAAGAAGCAATGGAGACAGGAAGGGTACATAATAGTAACTAAATGCAGTTTTGATATTCCATGTTTTCTTATTCATTTTTCCTCACTAACTTTGCAACTGATTTTTTTAATCCATATTCCAGGTGAAATTCTCAGTGTATCTTCAGTATCTGAGGTCTATGGGCTGGTGTTTAGTCACCTGGAGTTTCCTGTTCTACTTCATCCAGAATGTGGCCATCATTGGTCAAAACCTGTGGCTCAGTGACTGGACTGATGATTCTGTAGAATATTTCAACATAACCTACCCAAATCACATTAGAGACACGAGGATAGGTGTCTTTGGAGCCCTGGGAGTGGCACAAGGTATGAGCAGAAAGAGGTTTAATAAATACTTTTATGAAAAGAATGAAATAGAGGACATCCTGATATTTTGTTGTTTACATTTGTTTTTGTTTTTTTAAAGTATTCATAGTTGCAAGCAGTAATGACGTGTCGACGAGTGGGTCTAAAAAAAGTAATGTGATTTGGGTCAATATAGGAGTACTGTTTCAAAGTGCTATAAGCTTGGGATACTGTGACCATGAACCACAATAGCCACTGTGACTAAACATACAGCTCTAAACTAACCAATGCACACAGATGTGAGTTAGAAATGAAACTCTTCCTGTTTCCTTCTTTTGCTATTAAATGATTCCACCACCACGGCAACACTGCTTAAGATATTCAAAATTGGGTTGGTGCGAATTGCATGAATCCCTTGAAACACATTAAATCCAAAATACCTGAATTTCTGTTGGACACGGAGTTGAGTAAATAATTTTAAGTTGTCCGGCTTGAAGAGTACAATATATGTGCTGAGTGTGGTGACTAGGTCAAAATGCGGCACTACAGAACCCCCCTTTTACCCGCATTAGCTTCTCCCTCTGTCTAACGGCCAACAACTCTCATGTACAGTGTGTGCCAAATTTCATGAAATTAAGCATGCAAAGAGCTTCAAAAAGTGCTGAAATACCAAAATATTTCATTTGGAATTGAATACGGTTGGTGGTTTGAAAAAGAACAGACAAATATACAATAGCTTGTGAGTGAATGGATATGCAGTATGACATTGTGGTATTCAGAGAACTTTGCGAGGCCAGTCTTGATGAGGATTCAACAAAGACTTGAATGGAGCTTCAGGGAAAGCGTAGTCCATGCGCAAAGTGTTTCATCCACACATTGCATTAGGGTGCCATGTTAGCCACATCCTCTTGCATTATTTAGCATTCCAGACTCTTCTACAAGGTGTAGTCAGTAATTTGGATAATTTGCAAAATAGGCCTTGTGGAATTTGGAGAGTGAGATGAAGAAAGTGTGATTTCAGTGTCCTCAGGAGGAGAGATCAAAGCTCTCACTCAGTGCTTTAGCTCTTTGTCTAAAAATAGTGAATGAGAGCCTTTTGTTTCACAGAGAAAAAAAATGGTAGACACAGCACATGAATGTTCGTTAGTGACTAAGTAATGGTATGTCTTTCTCTGTCAGGTTTTTTGGTGTTTTTGGGCACTATACTCCTAGCTGATGGATCCATTTCTGCATCCAGGACTCTACACACAAGTCTGCTGTCTAATATTCTGAAAGTACCCATGGTGTTCTTTGATACCACACCTTCAGGACGAATAGTCAATCGTTTTGCCAAGGTATAGATGGGCCTGATTTAACACTGAACTTGATTTTGAGCAAGATTTTGTTCATTTTTCCTCTTAAGCCAAAACAAAGATCTACAGTACTAATTGTAATTGTAAAGTTGTAGCCTATAATTAGAATATTGTGCAGTATGAAATATGGACCACAAATAGATTAGAATTTGTTTTTGTTTTTATGATGATTTTTATACTTTACCTGTTCTTATACTTCGATTTGGCTTATATTTAGGATATATTTACAGTGGATGAAATGATCCCGATGTCCTTCAGATCCTGGATTCTCTGTCTTCTGGGAGTTCTGGGGACATTGTTTGTTATCTGTCTGGCTACTCCAATCTTCACCGCAGTTGTTGTACCAATGGCTGTTATCTACTACTTTGTCCAGGTGACACAGAGTAATGATTAAACAAAAGTACTCTGTATGGACATTCGTTTCTCTTACTTACAGTACTAACTTAGAATCAGCCATTTAGGTGAAAGAATTCAAATCTACCCTGCTATTGTCCAGTAATTTGGTATAAACTTGCTTCCTGTATTTTAGAGGTTCTATGTTGCTACATCCCGGCAACTCAGACGCCTGGACTCTGTATCTCGATCTCCCATATACTCCCACTTTGGAGAAACAGTATCAGGCCTCTCTGTGATAAGGGCATATGGGCACCAGCAGCGTTTCCTAAAGCAAAATGAGGACACCATTGATCAGAATCTCAAAAGTGTCTATCCTTGGATCGTTTCTAATAGGTCAGAGTTGGTACTCTATATCACGTTTTTTGCCAAGAGATAAATGGTCACATTTTATTTTAATGCCCAGTTCTCGCTATTAACAAACCATTGACTACAACTTTTGCTGCTTAAACTCCTAATTTGCTGTTTATTAATAGTTAATAAGGCAGTTGTTAGGTTTAGGTATTGGGTAGGATTAGGGATGTAGAATATGGTCTTGCGGAATAAATGCTTAATAAGTACTAATAAACAGCCAATATGTTAATAATAGACATGCTAATAAGCAACTAGTTAATAGTGAGAACTGGTCCCTATACTAAAGTGTTACCAGATAAAACTGTTTTGCTTTATAAGCCCTGAGTGCTGCTTGTTGGGTTTCAGGTGGTTGGCCATGCGTTTGGAGTCCCTGGGGAATCTGGTGGTGTTTTTCTCAGCTTTGTTTGCTGTGATCTCTCGTGGCTCTTTGAATAGTGGACTGGTTGGACTGTCCATCTCATACGCCTTAAATGTGAGTTTTTGATCCTGGGGTACTTGTGATAGTCAGTCAAATGACCTCAAGTGTGTTAAGTAACACTGTGTGCCACTACTCATGCTCTTATTAGGTGACTCAAACTTTGAACTGGCTTGTGAGAATGACGTCAGAATTGGAGACCAACATCGTTGCTGTGGAAAGAGTGAGGGAATATGCAGAGATCACAAATGAGGTGTGATTGTTTTGGATTAATCTACTAATAACTGTTTTCCTAGTTGTATTGACTGTCTTAAATTTTTATTTTAACTGTAGACTAGCCTAAAATGGCAGTGGGCTTGATAGAAACAATACCGCTTACCACATAAGACAAAACCTTCAAATGGATTTTTTTCCTATCGCTAATTATTAATGGCTTAAATTTGAAAACCTCAGGAGTAGCATGTGCAACTTTACAAGAGTGACTGTCTAAAATAGCTAAAATAGCAAAAAAGCATATCATATTTCACCTATTGTTGTTATTGATATATCATTAAATGACATGCCACCTGAAAGAGCATTACGTTATTGAAAATCAGTACATCATACTTAATGAATTTCATAACTTTAAGGTAGATGTGTCCAATTCTGGTCTTGGAGGGCCACTGTCCTGCAGACGTTAGCTCCAGCGTGCCTCGACACACGAGTTTCTACAACCCCACTTCCAAAAACGTTGGGACATTTTGTACAGTGCAATAAAAATCTGTGACTTGCTAATTCTCTTTAACCTTTATTTAGGTGATAAAAGTACAAAGAAAATATTTCCAATGTCTTCACTGACCAGCTTAATAGTATTTTGTATATATAAACACATTTTGATTTTAATGGCTGTAACACATTTTTAACATTTTGTCATGTTTAACACTTTGTCACATTAACTGTCCTTTTAATTACAATGTTTGGTTACACTTTATTTCGATAGTCCACTTTAGACATTCTATTAACTATAAGTAACTTTGTAACTACATGTCAACTAATTCTCATTACTTTGCAACTACATGTCTACTAACTCTCATTACTTTGCAACTACATGTATACTAACTCTCAGAGTAGACTGTTAGGGTTGGTTTAGGGTTAGTAGAATAAGTTGACAAAGTGTTAGAAGATATTAAGCAGACAGTCTACTAATACTCTACTAACTGCTAGTTGACATGTAGTTGCAAAGTTACTTACTGTTAATAGAATGTCTAAAGTGGACTATCGAAATAAAGTGTTACCCAATGTTTAATCATTTTATAAATGAGGATACTAATTGTGAAAGTTAACTGTTTAACCTTTTCACTTTTATTTTGCCACTGCCCCAACTTCTTTGGAGTGTGTTGCTGCCATCAACATCAAAATTTGATTGTATTTACAAAAAACATTTAAGCCGATCAGTGAAAACATTGGAAATCTTTTCTTTGTACTTTCGTCAATTAAATAAAAGTTAAAGGGAATTAACAAATCGCAGATTCTTGATTTTACTGCAATTAACAAAATGTCCCAACTCTTTTGAATTGGTGTTGTAGTATGCACAGTAAGACCTTGATTAGCTGGTTCAGGTGTGTTTGATTAAGGTTGAAGCTAAACTCTGTAGGACAGTGGCCCTGCAGGAACACCACTGCTGTAAAGGAATGTTTGCACAAACTCACTGCACCAGTTTTACCGTATTTGAACAGATCCATGTGAAATCCAGTGATTTCAAAAATTCTGCAATTTTAGTGTGAGAATATTTGTGTCTCCAGGCTCCATGGATCACCGCTAATCGTCCTCCAGATGACTGGCCCACCGGTGGGAATATTCATTTTGAAAACTACAAAGTTCGATACCGGCCTGAATTGGAGCTCATTCTCCATGGAATCACATGTGATATTCAAAGCACTGAGAAGGTGAGGAGACATACCTGATTCATGAATTATTATTTTTTCTTTGAAATATTGAAAATGCCACTTAAACAATTTTTTATTCCCCCCCCCCGATTTTCCCCAGATTGGCATTGTTGGTCGAACTGGTGCGGGCAAATCCAGTCTGACCAACTGTTTGTTTCGCATTATTGAAGCTAGTGAAGGTCAAATCCTCGTTGATGGTATTGACATCTCTACCCTGGGGCTTCATGATCTCAGGAGCAGACTTACCATCATTCCACAGGTGCGTGAAGTACACAAGATACTTTCACATTCACCAAAGGCTTGTCAAGTAGCAAACTTGTTGCCAAGGGTTTGAGGAGTTGGAAGTTTCTAGTGAGTCTGAAGACCCTGATTACTGAGAGATTCTTCACTACTGTTAAAGAGATGCAAACCTCTGGCAATTATTTGCTTTTTGTTAGCCACAAATGACACCATTTATATTTTTGTAAGGGTGAGCAATCTTGTATTTAAATTACAATGTTAAAAGACCATACAATAAACTACAAAAATGAAACCATACACTCACATGATCGCAGTTGTTACAAAAAAAAAAAATCTGTATATGCATAGTCCAGAAGTTTTCTTCCTTTGTGGATTTAATTCCCTCAATCTGTAGTAATCCCCTCAATTTGACATTCTGATATGGGTTTACTTCAACTGCACTCACTTCAGGAATAGCTTGTCACTGGGGGACTACTTTGTTTGTTACCCCTAAACCAGGGTTGGACAGTCCTGCAGAGTTTAGTTTCAACCCTGATCAAACTCACCTGCTTGTAGTTTTCTAATAATGATTAGCTGGTTCAGGTGTTTCAAATGGCTCGTTCGGACGACAGTGCACTTCTTCTCACTCATTGAAATAATTCTCACTCATAGTATGCAAAAAAAGGGGCAGGGCCTGGCTGAGCTGTGCTAGAGAAGACAAAGAAGAAGAGATGCTTTAGTGGCAATCACAACGTCCTTTGCCAGCTAACCAATCAGAGCACATTTTGGAAGGAGGGGCTTCATCGAAACATGAACTAAACAGGGGCACGTGAGACAGACTAGACAGAGAGGTGCTGCAATAATGTAAAATATGTGAAACATAATGCGTTTTTGGAACAATCAAGCATGAAAACCTATTCTAGCACACCCCAAAAACCAAATCAAGACTTCATAAGAGGGCATCGCAATGCTGAAAATGAATAAACAAATGCTTTCTAACAGGACCCAGTACTCTTCTCTGGAACTCTGCGGATGAACCTGGACCCTTTCGAGAAGTCTAGTGACGAGGAGATATGGACCGTTCTGGAGCTGGCTCATCTCAAAGATTATGTCAGGGGTTTGCCAACAGGACTTCAACACGAGGTCTCAGAGGGTGGAGAAAATTTAAGGTTTGTGAGCTGTAGAAACATGAACTACAATGTTTGTTGGCATTGATCAAATGTGCTTTGAATGCACTTAATACAAATTAGTGTATCTTGGGGTGCATCAAATTTGCGCTGATTAATTATAATATCGATAATTTTCAGTTTGTTTAGGTTTTAGCAGCCATAGTACTATAAGAATGACCGCTAATCTTTCAATCGTGGATATAGAATTTTCTGCTAATGTATTGTTTGAACTTCCAGATGCATGTTTAGTTTCTGATGTTTACATGTTAATGGATCTCCGACAGTGTTGGTCAGAGGCAGCTGGTGTGTCTCGCCCGGGCCTTGCTCAGGAAATCCCGTATACTGATCCTGGATGAAGCCACCGCAGCCGTGGATCTGGAGACAGACGATCTCATCCAGAACACCATCCGCACAGAGTTTTCCCACTGTACCGTGCTTACCATCGCACACAGGCTGAACACCATTTTGGACAGCTCACGGTGAGCAGCCTTCAAGACGAATCCTTTTTATGTTTATAGAGCTTGATTCAAAGCGGCTTGCAGTAATACTGCCTTAAATTTAATAAGATTCTCATTGGCAGTTCCATTTAACACTTGACTTAAAATGCCTTACCATAAACCTCTTTCAGGGAGCTGTAAATGAATTAGTGATCGACCGATATTGATATTTTATAACCGATACCAATTATTTGCGCGTTTATGTGCCCAATAAACGATATGCAGAACCGATATTTATTTACTGTTATAAAGTAAATAAATGACTGAGTGAAGTAAGAACATACTTCACTTTGGTTTTTCCTCCTTTCAGCCATCTTAAAAAAAAAGTGTTGAAAATTAGCAGTCTTTCATGTTAAATTTAATCTTCATATTACAATAAAAAAACATTTTATTTAAAGCATCAGCAGCAACACTAATATTAACAATAAGCAAAATAAATGTAGAAGGTCTAATGTTTTCAAATGGAGAAAATAAATAAAGGAAAGGACTCATATCAACTTCATTTTAAACTACAGTTTTAGTAGGTTTATAAGATGTTTAATAGGCTAAAGAGTGAAGAATAATTCACTGGATAATGTTAATTCACTGAATAATATTCTCTGGAATATTGAAATATAACAAACAAAACATTGTATTTTATTGCATTTCTCAACTGGCATGTTATATCAGAATTACTAATAATGTTTTTGTCCTTCTAGATTAAGAAACGCCTGCTGACAGCGCGGTTTATCTATGCAGTTACACAGAACTATACTCAAACTGCGATCGCTCGCGGATATAATAAATTAGTTTCCATAGAGATGTATTTATTTAGATGTTTATTAGCAAAATAATGGTTATATAGTAAATGTTAATACAATTTAGGGGTGTTTTAAACCAGTGAATCTTGTTAAAAGTTACATGCTGTGGCCGTGCTGGAGCATTTCCTGAGCATCAACCGCATCAACCCGGTGAGTGAACAGCAATATGAAAGCGGCTTCACGAGACTAATGATGAGCAAAGAGTTTTTATTTCCAACATGCGCTCATTCATGGCTGTATTATTTAATTCACGCAACGTTACGTCTTCATTGGGACAGGACATGACGGATTATCTTACGTGACTCCGTGAGTTCATCTCTATTTCTTCGAGCCAAGCTGCATAAACTGCATATCAGGCATTTATGTAATACATCTAATTTGTGAATTAATGGCTGTTATGTTAAATAAAGTTTACTAACTACAGTAAATCAAGTACCTGTGCAAGCCGTTGTTGTTGTCTTTTTTCACCTCAGACGGCGTGGTGCAATTCTCAAAACATCCACAAGATGGCGGCGTTTATCGGTGAATCCGATATTACAAAACCGATATCCGATTATTGTAAAATGCTTAAATAGCTGGAAAAATATTAGTAAATCCATATATCGGTCGATCTCTAATAATTATATTAGGACTATGCTTATAAAAACTAAACAGAGACACATTTTATTCTATTATCAGTCACAACAAATTGAGGCATACAGCTGGAAATTGTACTGACCTTTCCTCTTTCCTCTTTTTTTTTTATTTGTAGGGTAATGGTCTTGGATTCTGGTAAAATCGTGGAGTTTGATTCACCCAGTGTATTGCTTAACAACAAACAGGGACATTTCTATGCAATGGCTAAGGATGCTGGGATCAGAGGAGGGGAAACGAGTAAACCTACAAATATATCTACTGACCTATGATGCTTAACGTTTTTGCATTTCTCGACCAACATATTAAAATGTTAAGCAATTATATTATTTTTATTCTCTATAATCCTGTTGTTTTTTGTTGATGTGTTGACATGGATTTATATGTTGTGGCAATAAAGATAAAACATTTTTGCATTTCGTATGTATGCATTTAAAGAACATATGACTTTGCACATATTTGAATAAAAGCAATTTAGAGAATTAGAGAATCTATAGAGAACATAGAATTTAGAGAATTAGAGAATCTATAGAGAATATAGAATTTAGAGAATCTATAGAGAACATAGAATTTAGAGAATATAGAATTTAGAGAATCTATAGAGAATATAGAATTTAGAGAATTACTATATTCTGGGTGCTAACAACATTACAAAAAAAAAAGATACATAGACAAGTTCTTCCCTCAGTTCCCTCTCCCACATAACCCAAATTTAGAAAGGAGACAAATGAAAGCCAAAAGACAATTTACAAAAGAAAACATGCATCCAACAACAGTCTGCCATTCAGTATGTGAGTGTGTCACTGGTCATGAGCACTAGATTCATGCCGGTTTAAAACGTGCAGACTAATACAAACATTATAAAATGATGAACAAATGTAGTTTAGGCATAGGTTTGTGCAACGCTGTAAATATATTTACCCTTTTTTTAAATATCCCATTAAACCTGCTGAGATACAAGGAGCTTGAACTGAAATTCTCAGTTCCACCTGGGAAACTCATGAATATGCATGTTTGCTCCGCCCACTGAAACCGATAATCTGGTAACATCGGTGCTCCCGGAGAACGTTCTCACGCTGTTGGAGCGACACGCTCTGTCTGTGCGTTCATTCAGATCACCAGAAACACGGGCACTTACGGTCGAATAAGACCACGCTTGAATGCTGCTGCCTGAACAAGAGACCTCCTTATTGAAGTGTAAGTGCTGACTGGTGTCACTATCTCGAACGCACCGGCGGATCTCCATCAAATTCGGGGGATGCCTTCAGCTCGAGGAGCCCTCTTGAACGCCACCCTCCACGCATCGGTAGCCCCCCGGGATCGCTAGATCGGTCGGCGCCGGACTGCGAATTATAACCACTCGTAACTCCCGAACCCCGGGGGCTATCGATGCGGGGGTGGTCTCATTCGAAAGCGGGCCTCTAGACGTACACTCCATTGGCTTTCGAGGGGGTTCCTCGAGCTGAAGGGATCCCCCGAATTTGGTGTGGATTCAACATGCCGTTACGGAGATATGGCCGTTCAAAGTTTCAATGGTTTTCCATAGAATTACGCTTTAAAGCGTTTCATCCAGGTCACCAGTAGCAAACAATGGAGTGTGCTCTGCTGGACAAACGACGCAATTACACCATTTTAATGTTCTTTATATGTTCTGTAAAAAAAAATTCATATCGGCAGCATATTCGCCGATACCGATATATCGGCGACAGGCTCATATCGGCCGATAATATTGGCAAACGATATATCGGTCGGGCTCTAGTATGATGCTTCAGCTGCAGTAGGTTTAGTGTGTTTGGTTACATGAAAATTGCATTCAAAAAATGACGCCCTGTTTTTCACAGCTTGAATCATGACATGACTCTGACAGAGTTTAAGTTCATCTTCTACATGGAGTGGGGTCACCGCATGTGGTGGCTGGTTGGTTGGATTAGCATACATTTTTCCTACAGTATATTTCTGGAAAAGAGGCTACTTCAGCCACTCCATGAAGGCTCGTGTTCTGGGCCTGTGTGGCTTTGTCGTCTTCCAGGTAACCAGTCACCATGCAGTGAAATCTCATCTCCACACACATCACACACACACACACACAAACAAAAAGAAGTTTGGTTAGTCAAGTATTGCCTCTGTAGGATAAATGCTTGGCTTTGGCACATTCCTCGTTTGTAAGTTGATTTGGATGCACTAAATGAATAAATGTACAGTGCTCTCCACTAAAATTGGCACACTTGGTAAATAAGAACAAAGGTGGCTGTGAAAATAAATCTGCATGGTTCATCCTTTTGATCTTTCATTCAAAAAAATCACAAAATTCTAACCCATCATTGAAGTAAAGCAATGGAAAGTGGGGGGGGGAACCTCATTATGAAATAAATGTATCTAGTTCACGTTGGCACCTAATTATTGCAACGTCCTTTACCCAAGATAGCAGCTCTGAGTTTTCTCCAATAATGCCTGAAGAGTTTGGAGAACACCTGACAAGAGATCAGAGACCAATCCGTCATACATCAGATTCACAGCTCCTTCACTTCAGTTCACCTCACTCATTTTCTATAGGGTTCAGCTCAGGGAACTGGGACAGCCAAGGCAGAAGCTTCATTTTTTGCTCAGTGACACATCTGATTTTGATGTTTGTTTTGGGTCATTGTCCTGATGGAAGATCCAACCACGGCCCATTATAAGATTCCTAACAGGCAGTCAGGTTTAGATTTTTTTTATCTGTTGGTATTTGATAGAATCCATGATGCCATGTATCTGAACAAGCCCACAACATTAAAGATCCAGCAGTATATTTAACTGTGGGCATGGGCTACTATTTATCCCTGTTTGCACCATACCTATCTGGTGGGTTTGCTGCCAAAAGCTCTTTTTTGACCATAGAAGCCAGTCCTGTCGAAGTTCCAGTCGTGTCTGACAACTGAATATGCTGGAGTTTGTTTTTGAATGAGCGAGGAGGGTTTTTCCTGAAACAACATGTGGTGATGTAGGGGCTGTTTGAATTTTTATTTTATTTTTTTAAGGCTTTCTGACCGCAAGACTCGACTAATCTTTGCAATTCTCCAGCTGTGGTCCTTGGAGAGTCTTTAGCAACTCAAACTCTCCTCCTCACCGAGCATTAGGACTATATAGACACACGTCCTCTTCCAGGCAGATTTGTAACATCTTTAGTTGATTGGAACTTCTTAATTATTGCTCTGATGGTGGCAATGAGGATTTTCAATGCTTTAGCTCTTTTCTTACAGCCACTTTCTATTTTGTGAAGCTCAACAGTCTTGTTCTGCATCAGAACTACATTCTTTGGTTTTACTCCTTGTGATGGATGATTAAGGGAATTTGGTCTTTGTGTTCCTCATATTTATAATCCTGTGGAAAAGGAAGTCATGGCTGGAGAATTTCATGCTCCTAGTCACCCTGTCTGCAAAAAAATTTAATTATGAATGTGAATATTCTTCAGAGATATTTTACTCATAAGAATTTCTAAGGGTGCCAATAATTGTGGCCAACATGCATTGGAGAAAGACATTTATTTCACAAGGTGAGTTTCCCCCCACTTTCAATTGTTTTACTTCAATGAATTTTTTTAATGAAAGCTCAAAAAGATCAATGATGCAGATTTATTTTCACAGCTGCCTTTGCTCATGTTTACCAAGGGTGCCAATATTAGTGGAGGGCACTGTACATGTTGTAGTAAGTTCTGGATTAACCACATGGGCAGTATTGCTTTTGAAGGAGTGTTTCATGGCCATATGATCATAACCAGTCTGCGATGATATAATGAATGTAATTAAAAATCTCATTTCTACACTTGACTGGGTATTTTGAGTTTAATGTGTATTAAAGTTTGTCAGGTCTAAACTATTGTCAGTAGTGATGCACCAGGAATTCACTAGGCTGAAAACTAAATAAATGCCTAAAAGAAAAAATTGCTTATTATAATTATTACTCATAAAGCTCTGTAAATTTATCACCGCTGCAGTTGGTAGTTGAATGCATTTAAATAATTCCACGGAAATTAATTTAACACCAATAATGTTAATGGTGACTTCAAACTAATCATTTTAAAGCAAAACTGCAACAAAAACACTAAAGAGATCAAGAAAACATAATTTACAAAAGTCAAAAGTAAAATGTTTTAAATGTTTTTTATGTTTTTAAATGCACCAAGGCTGATCAAAAATACAGTAGAAACATCAATACTGTGAAATAGTATTACAATTTAAAATTACAGTTTTATATGAATATCTGATAAACTGTAATTTATTTCTGTGATGTGCAGCTGTATTTTCAGCATCATTACTCCAGTCTTCAGTGCCATATGATCTTCAGAAATCATTCTATGCTGATTTTGTGAATTATTATTGGTGCTCAATTAAAAATAACAATTTAAATATAAATAAAGACATTTTTGTCCATTTAGTATGAGCAACTTAAAATATTAAACGGCAATATAATATATTTTTGATTATATTTTGATGTAAAAGTTTCTTCCGTTTTAGTTCGTATAAACAACTTGTTTTGATATTTGTGACCCTACAGCACAAAAGCAGTGTTGAGTCGCTGGGGTATATTTGTAGCAATTTTATTTTATACCAAAAATCATTAGGATATTAAGTAAAGATCATGTTCCATGAAGATATTTAGTAAATGTCCTACCGTAAATATATTAAAGCTTAATGTTTGATTAGTAATATGCATTGCTAAGAACTTCATTTGGACAACTTTAAAGATGATTTTCTCAATATTTAGATTTTTTTGCACCCTCAGATTCCAGATTTTCAAATAGTTGTATCTCGGCCAAATAATGTACCAAACCATACATCAATGGAAAGCTTATTTATTCAGCTTTCAGATGATGTATAAATCTCAATTTCGAAAATTATGACTGGTTTTGTGGTCCCAGGGTCACATATAGAACCACTTCTGTGTAACCTAACTGTTGTATGTTTTTTTTTTTATTATTGAAATGTTGATGATGCTGTAGTAGTTAGTACATCTTAAAATTGTGAAGAGTGCATACTGTCATCAGTTTCAGTCCATTCAGATTGTGTTATGTAATAAACATCTGTTAATGGATGCACATGCTCAGGGTCTTCTTGGATGGTACATGGTGAAGAGTGGTCTGGAGGAGAAACCCGAATCACACGACATTCCCCGTGTCAGTCAGTACAGGCTGGCGGCTCATCTGGGCTCCGCTCTGCTGCTGTACTGCTCCAGTCTCTGGACGGGACTCACTCTCATGCTGCCTGCCAACAAGGTAAGCTGTGATTTCAGCTCTGCCTGCTGCTGTTTCAGGAGGTTTGGATGCGTCACAGATCATGCTGCTGTCTCTGCTCCACTGTAGATTCCCGACAGCAGGAATTTGCTGCAGTTAAGGAGGTTTGCCAAGGTTACAGGCGGCCTGGTCTTCCTCACGGCTCTCTCAGGTATGAGCAAATACATGACGTGACTTGTGTGGTGCAGTGTTTATTATAAATTGATTCTTTTATAACCATATGCACAGGGCAGTAAGGTTATCCATGTGTCAATCCTTCCTCTCCCAGCCTCCTGTCGCTCACATGAAATAATCACAGCAATTAGAAAACAACCACACTTTCTACGGGCCATTAAATGAGGGCTTCTCAACTCTGTGCCTCGAGGTCCACTTTCCCGCTGAGTTTAGCTCCAACCCTGATCAAATCACCCGCCAGTAGCTGTTTAGTGATCCTGAACAAAGCCATTGGAAAGCAAGCCTGCAACCTTTAGCCAAAAAGGCGTGTACATTGGTGGTCCGCAGGGAAGGAGACCAGAGGCTGTTGTATGATTGGCTGAGGTGCCTCACGTGACTGATAGCTGTTACACTTTTTCCAATTGCAAGTACTACAGACCCTCGCATCACCCAATAATAAGACCATCTCTGTCCTGAAGACCTTGATGAGCTTGTTCAGGTGTGTTTCATTAGGGTTGGAGCTAAACTCTGCAGTAAAGTAGACCTCGAGGGCCAGATTTGAGAACCCCTGTATTAAAAATGGACTAAAATAACACATTGAATACAATCAGTGAATATGGAAACCTGCAATTTTATGTAAAATGTGTCATTTACAGGGCCTTGCATATTACATGCAGTAATAACTATAATTTGCGAGCATGTTTTATTAATTTGTTCCTTTAATATGTTATAGTTAAAACGTGCACATATTATTATTATTTATAATTTTCTGGGAACAAATGAATCTAACATGCTTATTTTTAAACTAAAAGAAAAGAACAAACTAATATTAGAGTGTCAATTGTTCCTTAATTAATTTTATTTCTTTTTCCTTGCATGGCACGTGCAGGACTCTGCAGTACGGGAATAAATGTGTTAAAAAAGATAGATAACAGACACAGCTTGGAGCTATTGAAATACATAGTGTTTCTTATCAAATGTAAATTAACTATCTGTGTTTGTAAGGAATATTAAATAATGTGGTAAAAATAATGACTTAAAACAGCTACTAAATCCTATGGAAGAGGATTAGGGCCAAGCAATAATAATAATAATAATAATAACAAAAAAAAAGATTAAAGTCATTCTAATGCAAGATATGTAAAAGTAGCAGATATTTGCAATAAGTGTAAATAGTAATTAGATGCTATTTATACTTATAAATAGTGACAGATATTATTTCCACCTCGGTATTGTTGTACATTAACAGCATGCAATAATAAGATACTGTGTAAATGATTTTATTTATTAAAATTATTAAATAGACACTGCCTTATTGGTACACAGCAAAGCCTTCATTATAGCCTACCTACCCCTAAACCTACCCAATGAATAAATCATTATTAAACACTCGTTAGGCGATTGATTTCCACTTTTCTTATGTGATATGTGATGAAAAAAGGAAGAAGAGCGAGTTTGGCAAAAGGCGCATACGCTTCATCCACGAGCATCATGATCTGTGCCAGTGCAGACGCTGACTAACAATGTCCAGCGAGATCAAACGAACATGACACGAGTGTGTTTATTCTCAGCATTTTATTTCGACTTTATTATATTCTCGTAATTTAATGACTTTATTCTCACTATTTTATTTAGACATTTTTCTCGAAATTTAAGGAGTTTTTTTCTCGAAACACAACGACTTTACTCTCGAAATTGAATGATTTAACTCAACATTTTATTTCGACATTTTTCTTGAAATTAAAAAAAATGTACGAGATTAATCTCGCATTATAATGACTTCAATCTCGAGATGGTTTATTTTTTTTATTATTGCTTGGCCCTAATCCCCTTCCGTAAAATCCATGTATTGAAAACTAGTCTACCGTTCTTTTTTACTTGCATGCAGAGTAATCAGCTATATCTGTAGTTTTTATTTTATGACATGGAGGATGGGACACAATGATATAAATAATAAAAATTATCAAATGTTATAGTAGTATCCATACAGAACTGTTTACATGGAGGAAATGCTGTCAGTAGCATTTAACTTGAATTGAATTTGGAACTTGAATCTGTAACTCAATACATCAGGAGGAACATATTTGTTAAGGCTGTTTAGTCAGATTTGATAGTTTATAAGTCTATCCAATGATGAAGTGCTTTTTTTTCTCTCCAATGGTCCCTTACAGGTGCTTTTGTCGCTGGACTGGATGCGGGTTTGGTTTATAACTCCTTCCCAAAGATGGGCGAGCACTGGATCCCTGATGATCTTCTGGCTTTTTCCCCAGCCATCAAGAATGTGTTTGAAAATCCCACCATGGTTTAGTTTGACCATCGTATTCTGGTAAGCACTGCTCCTGTCAGCTGAAATGTGTCAGTGCTGTAGCGGATGTGCTTTAGCTGACGTGCTTCATGTTTGTGCAGGGCATCGCCTCACTGTCAGCCATCACAGGACTCTACCTGTTCTCCAGACGAGTCCATCTGCCCAGACGGGTGAAGATCGCGATCGGCTGTCTCACAGCCATGGCCTATACACAAGTAAAAAGCTTCAAACGGCATCATATACAGCAGTATACACTTATTAGGGGTCCAGTCCTATTGTATTTGTACTGATTTTCTTCTTCTTCCTCTAAAAATGATTATTAACCAAATTGTGCTTGAACCCTATTTGATCAGATTTTTGTTGTAGTTATTATTATTATTATTATGCCTGAAAAGAATCTGGGAATCAGAGGCTGTAAATCGCAGATGTAGTTCAACTGGTGGGACGATCAGAAATGCCCCTCGCTATGCACACACACACATGCAGGTAGTAATATGGTAATTCGCATTTTAGTTGTGAATTCTGGAACTATAAGGGCTAGAATCAAAGTCTACAAAACATACATCTCTGCTAAGCTTTCATCATCAAAAATTACAATGATATAAACAAATGAAATGGTCACTAATTTACCTATAGCTACTGAACGCAGCGTCTCAATGAAACGTCACACATTAGAAATGCTTTGAGGAAACAACAAATTAAAAATCATCATAATTCTGCTACCATATGATCAATTAAATTGAAAACTGACATGCATCTTCTTTGGTGCAAATGCTAACATATCCTTCAAATATCACAAATATGGACACCTGCAGCCAATCAGATCTCAGCAGCTAGAAATGTCTTTGACGCTGACATAACATTGACATAAGTATTCAGATCCTTTGCTGAGATGCTTCACATTTAGCTTAGGTGCATCCCATTTCTCTGGGTCATCTTTGAGATATTTCTACACACTGAATTGAGTCCATCTGAGACAAATTTGATTGTTTGGAAAGGCAGGCACCTGTCAATATAATAAACCAAGCATATCCTGGGGGGGGGCTAGAGGACTAAAAGGAAAGCTGAACAGCAAAATAAACACATTCTTAATGATCAAGACCTCAGATTGGACCAAAGGTTTACCTTCCAACAGCACAATCAGCACAGCCTAGACAACACAAGAGCGACTTAGGGACGGTTCTTGAGCAGCCCAGCCAGAATCCAGACTTGAACCAAATCAAACAGATCTGGAGAGATCTGAAAATGGCTTTCCAGCAACAGTTCCCATCCAATCTGTCACATTTGCAGAGGAAAATTACAGAAAATCCCAAAATCCAGAAGAACAGAGCTTGTGGCATCATACCCAAAAAGACTTGAGGCTGGAATCTCTGCCAAAGGTGCTTCAACTAACTGAGTTAAGGGCCTGAATACTTATGTCAATGTGACTACTTCAGTACTCTGTCTGAAATACTCTCTGAATGCACTATAGTGTCAAAGCGAGGCTGTTGTTAGAACTGACCACAATGCGGCACTATAATATATACATTTATATTTTCACTAATAACTAATAACAGGCTTTTCCCTGAATCATTCAGATCCCCCAAACGGTTTGATCGCATGGAGCTATTAATAATTAACTGTGCATAATGTAATAATTTATTAATAATGTAATAAAATTTTCATAATGTAATCTTGAACTCATAATATAATAAAGGTTGTTACATTATAAAAAATTTTTTATTATATTTTGGACAAATAATATAATAGATTCAAAGCAATAGTATCCTTTTAAAAGCATAGAAAATGTTGGCATTCATTTACAGTACATTTTCTAAATTTAAGTTACCTTAAAAATGCACCACCTTGCAATAATATTTTTACAATTATAATTCTTATTATGAATTATTACTAATAATAATTCATATTTCTTCTAGTACATTTTAGAAAACTATTTTAATGCATCTGGGCACCGTGCATTTTTTTTTCTAGAGCCACTAGATCAGGGGTGCCCAAACTCAGTCCTGGAGGGCCGGGGTCCTGCAGAGTTTAGCTCCAGCTTGCCTCAACACACCTGCTGGGAAGTTTCTAGTATGCCTAGTAAGAGCTTGATTAGCTGGTTCAAGTGTGTTTAATTGGGGTTGGAGCTAAACTCTACAGCACACCGGCCCTCCAGGTCTGAGTTTGGACACCCCTGCACTAGATGGTGATTAATAATAATATTGTGAGCTATTTATTAAATTTTTTTTTACATAGGCTATATTGAACACAGTGTTGTTGTCACACTATTTGTCGTTGATATGGTATGTATACCTTCTTCCTGTCAAATATTTTTACAATTGTAATTGTTAGATTAAACCAACTAGATTTGAAAAACTGTGATAATGACCCTCATATGTAATGGTGCTAATATAAGTTTTGTTTTTTTCTGATGAATTTCTCAGGTGGCTCTGGGTATTAGCACCCTGCTGCTCTATGTTCCCACGCCGCTGGCAGCCACACATCAGTCCGGATCAGTGGCACTACTCACCTTCGCCATCTGGGTCTTGGCTGAGCTGCGAAAAGTGGTCAAGTAGAGAGTTTTCAGATTTCATGCTATAATATATTTTAACAAATTATGCTTTAGGCACGTGAGCGTCATGCTTTTTTATGCATGGTTTTTATATGAAGTGCTTATAAACCCAGCACAAGGTATAGTTGTGAAATACATTGAACTGTTTCATTTTTTAAAGCCTGTTTGTACATGTTTGATTTATGCAAAAAAGGTGTTTGTCCTGTATGACTGCTTATTTCAAATCAATAAAATTATCTGTGTTTTCCATCGATTTTATGAGGATATTCATCCAGAGTTTACTAAGTAATTTTCATATATAATTAATATTATGCATGTATATTAAGGCTTGCTAAAACTACTGGTGAGCAGACTGAAACACAAGAATTGTACTTTTGATTGGTTGTCATGAGCGCCATTACATTTATAGAGATTTCAATTTATAATTAAATAAAAAAGATTACTCTTGCAACACAGTTGTTCACTCATAAGATCTGCCATTTTGGGTCATTGGGGTTTTAAATGTTTACTTTCACATGGTCAAGTACTTTTACATGCACTTTAAAATTTGATTTCAATCAAAATAAAGCAAAAATAGGACTACAAATTCCATGTAAACGTGTTCGTCCAGTCGAAGTCTTTGTGAAATCGAACCAAGAGAACTGGATATTGCGATTGTATTTTGATTTCATCCAGCATGTATATGTTAATTGGACTAAAATTGGATTCTGCGTTAAGCACTCAGGAAACGATCCACACACAACACAGGTTACTAATGAACAGATTTTAGGCGGTTTTATTAATTATGCAAATTATTACAGTGCCTACACTTTGGGGGCCTGATCTCACACATGCAGGGAGAGCGAAGAAAAAAGCTTGGTGAAACGCAAAGAACACTACACAAGCAAGGTATCGCATCAGTATCAATTATTCGAATACATACTGTGTCATGTGTACTCAGACAGATAGGCAGGAAAGACTAGTTTGAATATGCAAAACCCTGCAGTAGCTTGATAATGACTTCCTGTGTAACATACTTATTGTTTTATAGTTTCTGTTAAAATATAATCACCCAAACCATTTAGTCCACCAAATGTTTGTTATAGGCTTGGAAGGACTTTAGTTAGAGTTGTAGTTTAGTTAGTGGTTAAAATTGACAGTGCAGTGTAGAGTGAGTGCCCTTAGCCTAACCTATAAGAGACCAGGTAATGATCATCACTCTGCAGCAAAACTGCTTCACAAACATAGGCTACTTGCATTACACACAAAGGAACACATTTTCTCCATATCCAGTCACAGAGAGATGGGCACAAATACATAAGAATGTAATTCAAATAAAAATACAAAATACTTCAGTTTGATCAGATCAAAATACGATGTGGAAAAATTTATCAATACAAATACAATATTTTTCTATTTTGAAAATGCCAAAGCAAAAACAAATAAATCCTGCACACTATCAGTACCTGAAAAAAATCGATTTATTAATATGAACACAGTCCAATTCACAACCGTTTGGTCCTATGACCTTCATCGGGCATATATGAAAATAGGAATATATGCCGGATGAAGGTCATAGGACCAAAAGGTTGTGAATTGGACTGTGTTCATATTATATTATTTGGGTCCGAACCGTTGTTCGTTTGTGTCATCTAGCCAGCAGCTGTTTACCCTGTTGCTTAGTAACGATGGTGCACGAGAAGGTGAACGTGATTTCACCAAGTACAACATGTTCCTGGATCAATTCAGTTTGCATAATAGGACTAGGTGTTATAATCCCGATATTCAGCACCATTTAGCCACACCATAGAACATTTTCTCCTTCGCTGTGAGCAGAACACAGCGAGACGCAAATGTTACGCTCTGATTTTGGTTCAGCAAGAATCCAGGATCATGGCCTAATCCCATGTCCATGGTTCGTGCCTCCATACCCAATAATCAGTCGTGAATTTACAAATTGCTTTATGGGGAACAATAAGAAAAAGGACTAGTATGGTAAGATGGATAATGAAGACGGTACAATTCTTCACTGCAGTCATCGGGTGGGGATCCTTTACGTTTTGATGATATATTATGCTGTACATGATGTGTACTTATCTTTCATGGATGTTGCCAGTGAGACACCTTATCCGATGTCCATCAGATCCCAGTTTCTGTGCGAACTTTAGCCTGGGTGAAAGATGCCTTTTGTTGAGGTGATGTCGCCAATGACCTTTGTATAGTGATTCCACCAATGCAACACATCATCAGTTGTGTACCCCAGTCTCATTGGGTGTTTCAACCCTTTATCACAAGACACCCTTAGCCGAGGCAGGCCCACCACAGGCTTGTCAGACCCGGTTGTGTGTCATTTTGTTACATGGTCATTTGGCAGCCCACACTGTGTCCATCCACTTCAGCCACAGCCAGCTGCTGCTTCTTTCAGCAACAGTGGCAAGGTCTCTATTGCTGCCGCCAAGCACTTCAGTACTTGATTGTGGCGCCATGTGTACCTACCCTGTGTCATGCTGTTCTTACAACCCACCAGAATATGTCTGAGGTTTTCCGGGGCTGCACACAGGTGGCAGGCTGGGTCTTGTCCACACCATACCTGCAAGTTTGTTGGAGAGGGCAGCACATCATATGTGGCTCTAACGATAAAACTTAGCCTGTTTTTTTCCATGCTCCATAGCTCACTCCAAGTGATTTTACACCGTTTTATACCTTCCCACCTCATCCAGCGGCCTTGTTGGGCTTGGAAGACTGCTCTAGCGCGTCTAGTTGCTTCCTCCTGACAGACAATATCCCGATGTCTGAGGGCTGCCTTTGCATCAGCAACTGCTGTAACTGGATTCCATTTCCTCCCTGTCGCCAGTGTTGGAACAGCATCTCTTAGACAGGGACAATGGAGCTCTCTCTCTTCCTAAGGCATCTTGGTAGCCTAATCCATTTCCTCTCTTGTATACTTACCAGTCTCTCCAGGTGCTTGGCGTGAGATAAAGTGAGCTCGTACATGGAAATTGGCCACATAAGACGTGGCAACAAACCAAATTGGAAGCACCACAGCTTCAACTTCCCCAGTAGAGCTGTACCATTGATTTTCTTGAGTCCACTGACTGTCTCTTGTCTGAGTTGTTCCACCTGTTTTGAGTCTTTAATGTCTGTGGTGTACCAACGTCCAAGGCTTTTGATGGGCTTTTCCATGACCATTGGTATGGGCTCTCCCGCTATACAGAACCTATCATTAGTAAGTCGACCTTTGACAATGGAGATGCTGCAAGATTTTATGAAGTTCACAACGCAGGTTCGGGAGGAGCCTAATCAATCAGTCCTGCCAATTATCGGTTCGACCGTATATAAGCAGCAGTCATTTGTTCCGTCAAAGCGAATATTCTTCCGGCATAGTGGCCCCGCCCTATTCCGTGAAACATGTCCCACCCAACAAGCTTCAGCTATTCACCTCCGACGAGGAACTTTCCCGTCCTTCGGAGCCTCCTTCCGCCACGCAGCCGAACCCAGCTTCCTCCAATTCCGTTTCTCATACCGGCCACTCCAGCAAGGAACGAAGTCATCCTTCTCGGCGCCCTCCTCCAAGTTCGCCAAGACGCCACCTCACACCGCGGTCAACCCCGCCTCTGGCCAGGCAGCCACAGACCCCAG